TCCCAGCGCGGCGAGGCGGAGCACGGAGCCATTCCCACGGGCCCCCACGGGACCAGCAGGACTGGGAGGGCGACACAGCTTTAATGGGGCTGGGGCAATGCAGAGCCACGGGGAGCCRCCAAGCGCCGCCGTCCTCAGGGCCGTGGGGGTGTCCCCAAGCTGGGGCAATGCCCGCAGGCTGGCGCCGGAGCCCTCCTGCACCCCTGGAAGCGAGGAGGAGCAAGGCAAGGAGGAGCCGAGGGCTCTGGGTGGCCCTCAGGGGAGCGCGGGGCAGGGGACGCCGGTGCCCCTGAGGCCGCAGGTGCCCGAGGGCACCTTGTGCAGGTACTGCTGGTGCCAGTCCTCGGCGTAGAAGAAGTCTCCGGCCGGCTCGACGCCCGTGGTGATGGTGCCCAGGCGCCGCGCGCTSAGCGCCTGGGGGCAGGCAGGGCAGGAGCACCCGCAGCCCCGCGCCCGCCCGGGGYCCTCCGCGCTGCACCCGGCACCTCCATGAGGTCCCCCCCCCYGCTCCCCTTCCTGGGACACAGCCCTGGCGGGGGGTCCCCTGTCCCCGGCGGGTCCCCATGCCTCCTACCTGCTGATAGGCSTCCCGGCTCCGCAGAGCGGCCTCGTGCTGCTCGGGGCCCAGGGAGAAGATGACGGAGCGGTACTGGGTGCCCACGTCCTCCTGCTGCCTCATGCCTGCCAGGGAAGCACCCGCCACAGGTTATCCCAAGCCTGATCCCACGGGAGGCTCTGGCCACCCTTGGGTGCACGGGGGTCTGTGGTGGCCCCAAGGGCAGCCCCAGCCCCCCCGGCATGCCCAGGCCTCGGCTTCCTACCTTGCGTGGGGTCGTGGTTCTCCCAGAAGAGCCGGAGCAGCTCCTGGTAGCGGAGCTGCYGCGGGTCGAACACGACCCTCACCACCTCCGCGTGCCCCGTGAGCCCTGCGGGCAGAGCCGGCCGTGCGCCCGCGGCCCCGCAGCCTCCCCATGCCCCGCGGCGTCGAGCCAGCACCGGGCACGGAGGTCGCCGTGTCCCCACATCCCCTCGGCATGTGGTTAAACCCCCGGCCGGAGGCAGCAGCAAAGAATGKTTTTTCTGGCCCACAGATAATCCTCCGGGAAGTGGCTCTCCAGATAAGCCAGGGGGGATCAGTCTGAGCGGGATGGGGCGGGATGCAGGGGCTGGGATGGGGCRTGAAGGGCGCCACAAGTGCCAGCCCTGGGGGACATCCTGCAGGAGCCTCCGTGAGGGCTCGGCCTGTTCCCAGCGGATCCACACAGGGCCCAGCACCATCGGGGAGTCGGAGCRCCCGTGGCGCCGCACGGAGCACCCAAGGGTGCCCGTCACCGCCCGGGAGGGGACAAGGGGACGCTACCTGAGCGGACCTCCTCATAGGTGGGGTTGGGGGTGAAGCCGCCTGCGTAGCCCACCTGAGTGGAGAAGAYTCCCGGGAGCTCCCAGAAGAGCCGCTCCGCTCCCCAGAAGCATCCCATGCCTGGCACACGGGGCACAAGGAGAGGGTCCTCGTCACCCTGCGCTCTCCTCCCAGACAGCAGAGAGCAGGGACTGGCACCAGGGGCCTTTCTGTCCCTCTTGGGACTCGCGSCGCATTCCCGGGCAGCGGGAAAACACTCACCGAAAATGGCCACCTGCATCCCATCGGGGAAGGGCGGGAGCGTGGGGTTCCCGCTGACAGCGTGGGTGGCTGCAGAGGGCAACACACAGGGTCAGGGCCGCTCGGGAAGGACCCGGAGCTGTCCCCTCTGTGGGGACAGCCACGGGCTGCCGACTGCAGCCTTGGACCACTGCTCCGSGCCGGGTCCAAGGTCTTGGAAAGCTGAGGAATACTCCCTCATCAGCGCCTCAAGCTGGCGCAGGGGTGTCCCTGTCCAGCCCTATCGCGGGGAGCCGGAAAGGGGGAAATGGTGCAAAGACCAAGTGGGCTCCACGTAGAGCCGCCCCGTGCGCCCAGCCGGGGCCGTCTCCGAGCCCTGCCGCTCCTCAGCCCACCGGGTTCCTGCCCGTCGTGTCCGGGGGTGGCGGCCCGTCCTGCAGAGGCTCTGCCTTCCAGGTGTCAGGGCAGCCAGGCCGGGATGTGGGGAGGCTGCCGGGCCTCCCTGCCTCCCCATCCAGCAGGATGTGTCTCCTGGCAACCCCCTGCGTTGCCATGGCGAGCATGGCCCCCCTGGGTTGCCATGGCAAGCATGGCCCTCATGCGCAGCCCYGTCTGCATCCCCATCCCGCCCGGCCCTGCTGCCCCCGGGGATTGGGGGGACACCCACGCCCCCCAGGGACAGGGGGGACAGCGGAGCGGGTCCCGCCGCCCCCACGGCACCTGCCACGCGCTGCGGCTGCGCCCGGCCCGGCAGAGCGTCGGCAGCGCACGGCAGCTCCGTGCGCCCCAGCATCGTTCCCGCTGCCCCTTTGCCCCGGGAGGAGAGATCASTGGTGCTGGGAGGGAACCAGTGCCCGCGTCCCCATCATCCCCATTGCGGGGGTGGACGGGTCCTCCGGGCTCTGGCTCTCGTGTCGYCCAGGAACAGGAGCCCACGGCCCTGCAAGGGGGGTCGTTTTCTGCCCTTTACAGCAGGGAGAAGGGGGGTTGTTGTGAGTTGCATTTAAGTAGCGACCGGGGAAGCCTGGGGAAGMCCCCCCCCAGCAGCTGGGAATGGTGCGTGCTCCAGGAGCACAACCCCTACGAGCTGCCCGAGAATCCACGCTGGAGCCAAGGGGGCTGGCAGAGAGCAGCCAGGGCTGAGGCTGCTCCTGTGGAGCGGAACGGGGCCAGAGTCCGGCACCCTCCGGATTGACGTCCGTCCGTCCGTCAATCATTAACACGAGCCCGTCGCTGCCCAGCTTCCTTCCCGGGCTGCATCCAACCTTCCCTGGGCTCCTTCCCAGGATGCGGCGCCTTCCAGCCCGACCTTCCTGTCTGCCCTTCCCGCCAAGGGAGCCCGTGTGCCATGAGGAACCCAGCGCTGCACCCAAACTCCCAGGGTCTAGCCCCAGCCGCACCGGTGCCGGTGCCAGCCTCCGGAACCGCTCCCTGCCCGGGGGGCCGATGCCGCCCCCGCCGCGGATATTCCGCCCGTGGCCCGCCCTGACTCCAAGGGATCCTCCCCGCATCCCTGCGCCGCGCTTTCCCTGGGATGCGCCGCCGCGGGGGGGAGCCGCGGGGGGGGGCGCGCGCTCCCGTGCGCTCCCGCGCGCTCCCGTGTATTCCCGCGCTCCCGCGCGCTCCCGCGCTCCGAGCGGAGCAGCCCGGCCCGGGAGGCGCCGCTCGCTCCGCCCGTGGGGCTCCCTGGGGGGCTCTGCCTGCCTGGGGGTGCCTTCCTCCTCCTCCTCCTCCTCCTCCTCGTGGGGAAGCAGCGCGGGGAGAGCTGCAGACACGGAGGTACCGGCGCTGGAAGGGGCTGCGGGGAGCTCCATTGTGTGCCCAGGAGAGGATGGGAAGAGGCGCGGAGCGGGATTTGAGGGAGGGGGCGCGGGGGTCCCGCCGGGGTTGCCGCGGCGGAAAGGCTGGGGAGGCCGGGCGGGTGTCCGGGCATCCCTGCGAGGCCGGCACGGGAGCGAGCGCGGGGCGCGTTCCTACGGGCACCCCCGGGATGCGGGGGGGGGCAGAGCCCGGGCCGACCCCCGGCAGCACCGCGGAGAGCGCCGGGGGGGGGGGCGCCGGACCCCTCCCCCTTTGCACCGCCCCACAAGTCCCTATGGGGCCGGGGGGGGGCTGCGAAATCCCCGGTGGGGAGCGGGGGGGGGGGGGTTGAAACCCGGAGAGGGTCGGGATTCCCTGCAGCGAGTTTGTGGGGCCTCTGCCCCGAGGTCCCGGGCAGGAGGGGAGTTCTGAGCCAGCGGGAGGAATTTGAGGCACTTTCTGCCCGTTCGACTGTCACCAGGTTTCATTCCCTGTGGAAACAGCGGCTGGGGGGAGAGGGGGGCTACCAGGGGAGGCTGCTGCAGGGGGGGACCCCCCATCCTGTTTCCTACCCCCCCCCCCAGCTTTCCAAAAGCCATCCCCATCCCACTACTGCAAAGCAGTCCCCACACTTTGATCCATTGGGGAGCTGAAACTGGGAGGAAGAGGCTCCCATCACTGCMCACCCCGGTTTTCCATGGAGGATGAAGGGCGGGCAGGGGGCACAGCCAGGAAAGGGCCGGGAGGGGCAGATTTGTTCCTTATTCCATTCGGAAACAACAGCCCCGGTGCCACGGGCCCTCCTGCCCTGCGGATGTTGTCCGCAGGGGGAAGAGGAGGGGAGCTCCATGCTGGAATGCTGGGAGTGGGAAGGAGGATGGGACCAGGCTCCTGAATGGACCACGTTGAGGGGATTGGTCGTGTCCAATTCATCCATAGGGATGCAGGGATACGGCCCGGCCCCAGCGTGCCGCCTGTGTGGTGCCGGCACCTGGATGATGTGAGGACAGGGAGGATCCGCGTGTCCCGGGGGGCACCGGGAAGCCGAGGGCACCACTGGCCCCGGCGTGCCGCGCTCAGCGCACGCCTCGGCTCGGTGCTGCACAATGAAGGCACGCGGTGAATGCCAAAGGGGAAGCCAGCTGTGCCGGACATGAGGGACAGCGCCGGGACAGAGGGGCCCTGGAGCAGCCCCCCAGCCCAGGGACACGGGGTGGGACCCCCAGCCCTGCCTGACCCCCACCAAGGGAAGAGCGGGRGGCACCTGCCTGCAGCCCCCTCCCCAAAGCATCAAACTCACGGAGTCCCTTGGGAGCAAGCGGGGCCGGGAGCTGCCCGGGGAGCCTTTCCCTTCTCCCCTCCCTTTCTCCGAGCCCTTGACTGAGGAGGGGATGCGCTTGGCTGCTGCGCTGGCGCCTTCCAACATGCCGTAAAGCACCGGGAGGTTCCCCCACATCCCACTCTTCCTGGAGGCCTCCAGCTGCCAAGCCACAGCTCGGAGCTCAAGATTCGCCCTTCTTGGGGTCTCTGCCATTGGCAGCGAGGCCCCCGTTCCTGGGAATGTGCTGGGATGGGCCCACAAAGCGGTGCATCCCTCACAGCCCTGGGGAAGCCGGGAAGGGCCAGGAAGCGGCTCCGGAASAGCCCTCCCGCATCCGTGCGGATGTGGATGCTGCCGAGCACAGAGGGGCCCTGGGCAGCCCCACAGCCCCCGGGGCAGGGCTGGCAGGGACACAGGGGTAGGGACTCCTCACCTTTCRGGTTCCTGGGGCTCCTTTCCCACCTTTTCCTTGAGTAGGGAAGGGCCGGGAGCTCCTCCTTCCATGTGCAGCCCTGKGGGCGCCTCGGGCCAGCGCTTAACCCATCCCCTCCCAGGCCCCAGGGGCCCCTGCAGCCCCCTCCGGCCCCGGATCGTTTCCGCACTCTCTTGGTCTCTTGCTATCAAAAACCAGCCGTTGGCAAGGCTGTAYGTTGGGGCAACTCGGGCCTTCCTCTTCCTCATGCCCCCTCCAAAGGGATGCTGCTCCCAAAGGTGCTCCAGGCGCCCAGGGCTCCCCGCCGAGTCCCCCAGGAGCCAAGGGCGGGCCCCAAGGTGCCGGCGGAGTGGACAGGGAATCCAGTGTCCCGGGACGAGGCCGCCTGCTGCCGGGGCCGCTGCATCATCCCGAGGAAGAGGAGACAGTGCCGCCGAGTGCCAGGGATGCTCGACAGGACCTCACCTTTGTTACGGAGAAGCGCTGAACGGCCAAGGGGAAGGCAGCGCCCATTCCTCGCGGGCTTAACAGGGACGGGGCAACAGATTCACCACACACCTTACAGTATTTTTGTCCAGAATTCATTTTCCTGTAAACAAAACTTTTTTTTTTTTAAACCACTGTTTGTTCTCCCACTTTCAAATCAAATTAATCCAGACTTAATTTGCAATCCGTATAACGCACAAGAACAGAACATTCCCTAGGACTCCTAGGACTTCTCCGAGTAACAAAAGGGTCAAAGGAAAATGAACCGCCTTCAGACACAACCTGCCGGGCAATTTCTGCTCAATTCTTCTCAGGCCAAAACCCCCCGTTCCTTGGAGGATTCCTCTTCTTTCAGGCCAAGAAAGGGGAGAAAACAAAATTAAAAAAAAAAAGAGGGGGAAAAAAAAAAAGGAATTCCTCTGCTTTCGATGGCAGAGGCCATGACTCGGTTTTCCAAGTGCAAATGTCAAAACACGGGGAGAAGTCGCATGGGGAGGCGGCAGGGCTTAAAAATGAGAGAAAAAAAGGCTTATGCCACTTATGGACTTTAAAATTCAAAAAAGTAGTAAAAAGACAAAAAAAACAAAGCAAATGCTCTGAAATCGCAACCAAAGCCAAAAGAAAAGGGACAGTTTTTACCTATACTCTACCTAGGAGGAATTTTTTTTGTCGTTTTTGTATTTTTTTCTTTCTTTTTTTTTTTTTTTTTAAAGTCCTATGTCTCTTGTGAAATTCCAATACCTTTTTTAACTGCAAGTTTTGTAAGAGTCTTTTTGAAGTCAATGAAATGAAGGAAAAAAAAAACCAAAAAAAGTCCTAATTCTCCGGGGCTCCTTTTGGCTCTTCGTTCTCCCCCTCTCTCCGGGCGCCGCGGTCTSTGTGCGAGGGAGGCCCTTCACTTGCCGCGGCCTTGGCGCTCCTGCAGGCGGAGGGCAGAGAAAGAGCGTTAGCTTAAGCGGGCTCCCAAGCCAGGGGGAACGGCTTTCCCCGGCCCTTCGGCAGCTCCACGCGCGGTGCTCGCGATGCCGCGCTTTGGCGGGGGCTCCCGGCCGGCGCCGAGCGTCCCACGGGACTCACGGCTTCGCTCCGGGCTCGCGGCGCTGCAGCGCACGGGCTTTGCCACCCGCATGCAGTAGCTGCCCGCCGTGTTGGTGCCCACGCGGCGGCGGCAGGCTGCCCGAGCAGGCACGGCCCCCAAAGCGCCCGGAGCGACCCCGGACACCTCGGTGAGCAGCAGGGATACGGAGCAACTCCCGCAAGAACCAGTGACAACCTCCCTCCCCGCCCCGTGGAGCCCAACGCGCGGCGGAGACACAACAAGGAGGCAGGAATTGAGAGTCCTTGGATGCGAGGGCCATGAAGAGCGGCGGGGGGAATGCAGGGGGCAATAACGTGTTTGGTCCCACCCTGCAGCACCGTAAAGGCCCTCAGGTCTGAGCCCTGCACGCGCACACAGGGTGCAACGCCTGGCGCTCCTGGGATAGTGCCAGAAACAGCCTCGCGTATCCAAGACGCCGCTGGAACCTGCGCACGGATCGGCCCTGGCTCCGCAGGGATGCGGGAAACCTGCACACGAGCCAGGAAAAGGCAATGAGGCCGATCCAGGGCACAGCAGCGTTCCCATCTGCAGAGCCACCACCTGCTCCGGAGCCTGGAAACGAGGAAGTGGATAAAGGGAAAGAGAAGCTGAGCGCAAGGGATGAACCCAACCCGGCCTTCGGGCATCCCGTCCAGGAGCACAGAGCCACAAGGCGCCGCAAACCGAGCGGGACACGGAACCAGCCGGAGCGGGTGGCTCCCCCCGCACAGCGCCAAGGGCTGCCGCGGGAACGCACGGTTAGAACTTGAGGATTTCTTAAGGACTCACAAACGATGGCGAGAAATCCTCCAAAATTGTCTTACAGGAGACAAAATTGTTTTAYAGCAACAAGTAATAAGCAGTAGAGCTGAAAAAGTGGAGCAATCTGTACAGACGAATGGAAGGAAATACAACAGTGTTTTAATTTCAAGATTAGAAGCAAAAGAAAAGTTTTAGCTAAGGGAATTTAAGGTAAAAATCTAACCTTTGCAGCCACCTCAGAATCGTGCTGTTAACAAGGGAGGCTCCAAGGGTGCAGACGGAAGCAGCCTTGGTTTCCAAGCTGCTCCAGCGCGCGGACCCCGACACGCGCTGCTCCACGACGAGGCGAGCGGCCGGGGCTCGGCGGCCGCTGCGGCGCCGGGCGCGGACGAGGCCTCCCTGCCACCCCGCGCCACCGCCGAATCCCTTCATTAACTCCTGGAGCCGCAGGAAAGCCCGAGGAGCGGCAGGGACAAGCAGGAACGCACGGGGAAGTAAGAGGGAGCTAAAAGCAGCACAAGATCTACCTTGCACACGCAGAGCCGGGATGCGCGGAGACGCTGCCGAGGCCTCCGCGCTGTGGTCAGCGCAACATTCCCAAGGAGACGCGCTATTACAGCCTGGGTTTAACAGCGTCACCTTCCCGGGGAGGAAGGTGGGGACAGGCCCCACGTCCCCAGCAGGTGATCCCTTTGGGCCCGACGGCGATGCTGCAACGGGCATCTTTTAACTGCCCTCCACAGGCCAACGGGAACAGCACAAGGACCAGGGCCAAGCATGTTTCCTATCACTTCTTGGAATTGTTTTAAAGAGCTCTAAAGAAATGAATCTAGGAGAAATGAATACAGGAATATTCAAGAGTGCCCAGACTTCATCTGCTCGGGTGCCAGCAGGAATGAAGCTGCCCATCAGACAGAGGTTCAGACCATTTTGGAGCCAGACTGCAGCTCTCCAGAAGTTCCCATCAAGCCAAACCTCGAGACATYGAAGCTTCAAGAAACAAGAATGCAGAGCATGGACATATCGCCCTTGCCCAAAGACTGGTGGCGGAGACAAAGAGAATTAAGAATTAAGTCATGTTTTTCACATCCTACCATTCCTGAGATGTTAGGGACACTTGTAGATGCAAAGCAGGGGTGGTCCGTCCATCTGGCACCTCTTCCTCYGGCCTTTCCCCCTTGTCTGCCCTTCCTTCTGCCCATTTATCCCTACCCTGCATTTACATTTACCCACGTTAGCACYGGGTGCTGCTCTTCCCCTGTCCGCTCTCTATTTGCCTTCAGGGAACTTTTCTCACCCTGCAAATCCCCCTGCTCCCAACAAGGTGGATGCAGAGCACAAAGTTGTGCTTACTAAGAGGCCCTAAAATTCATCACGATTCCTAATTGCATCTGAAATCTCTATTACAGCCCAATTACCACTTCAATACAGGCWGAGTGGCAAGGGCAAACCTTTTCAGACGTGAATTCACACCAACATTCTGGTTCCCACAAAAATCAAGCCAGATAAAACTAAGGAAACCACTAATCTCCACGTGTCTCTTGCAGATCATCTCCAAGCCTTGCAAATATTCGGTTATCAGCTGCAAAACAGGACTGTCTTGGCAATACCAGTGCTGATACTAACACAGGCAGCACCAACGTACGCATCAAAAGGTTAAAAGCCGAGTTGAGGGGCCTGGGGACCAGGCTGCAGCTCCTCATTCAGTGTTTCAGCCACTGGGTGGAAAATTCCCTGTTGCTGAGACTAACGGGATCCTCGGAAAACCTGGCAAGCCACCAGTAAACCCTGCTAGGGCTAATTTGTAATTACTGTTTTGAGCAAACACAAGCAAGGTCCCCATGGCCGGGAAGGAGAGCCRCAGGTGAGGCGAGCACCCAGCTTTGCCCAAAAGCCACCCATGGCCCGCGGGGCACTGAACCTCCCAGCAGCTCCAGAGCCGGGCCACCATTTCAGTTTGTCCCCCGAAAGGCTTGGAAAACAGCAGCCCTGCAGTTACAACCGCCCGCCAGCAGCTCTTGGAGGGCAGCAACCCGCAGAGGGTGATTAACAAGGGTAATTAACAGCAGGAGAGGCTGCCCAGGGTACAGGAGCGGCCCCTGCGGAAGGGTTTGAGCAGGCGGATCAGGCAGCCTCTCCAAGAGCCAGCTCCACCTCACTCCGGCATCGCGCCGCTACCCAAAAACTGGCAGGGGGTCACCAGGAATCTCCAGCAGCCCGGTGAGAGCAGCACGCGGGGAAGCTGGAGGTTGCCAGYGGCTGAGGGGCAGCCGGGCGGCGCGAGCCTCCGCGCGGAGTGCTGCCGGGAACGAGCGCGGAGCCACGGGACGCACGTTTTACCTTTTTGACGTTTTCCTCCTCCTCTTGGCGTTTCTCGTAGTGCGAGAAGTCATCGAAGATGGAGGTGGTGTGCTTGTAGGTGGCAATGATTTTCAACACYTGCTTAGCCTTCTCCAGAGGCACCTCCTGAGTGTCCCTGGAGTTGGTCACTGGTTTATTCTCGTTGTTCTCCAAGCGGATGTGCCGCAGCTGGCTGTTGGGAACGTCCTTCACAAAAATCCACCTGACATCAAAACGTCCCTTCCACTTGTCCTGGGACCACACCCCCGCACACGTGTTATAGTCCACGGCAGATTTCATTTCTGCTACTCCGCAGAAGTGGCCGCTACCGTTGACACTGAAGAGCAAGTAAACGGGGCCCTTGCCGTTCATGGAGCGATAGGCAGCGTCCAGTCTCTTGTTGCCGTGCTCTGTACTGCACCAGATGTTGTATTTAATGGAACGGTGGATATCGTCCTCTGAGTAACTCTTAATGATGAAAACCCGGCCGTGTTTGGGGTTCCAGTCAAAATCCTTGGGGTTGTAGTTGTTGATGGATCTCAGCTTCTCCAGGACGGGGTGCGGTTCCGACGGAGCAGCGCCAGAACCGGCTGGGGACTGTCCCACCGCGCCGCTGTCTGCTCCGTTCTGGCCGAAGGTGCCMCCACGGTTGCGAGGGGCGACCCAGCGGGCGGGCTGTGCCGCCTGTTGGGGCACAGGCGGCGGGGCCGGCTGTGCGGCCGACGGTGCCAGCGCCTGTTGCGCGGCTGGGGGCTGCGCCACCGGYGGGCTGGCGGTGACCGGCTGCCCCACCGGCTGCGGGGACCCCTGCGCCGGCTGCGGCCCCAGGTTCTGAACCAAGGCCTGGGAAGGGCCCTTCGCCACCGGCCCTTTGTTGTCCCACGTTCCGATATCCATGTTATGCTTTATGGGAGGTGGCGGGAGGCCGGAGCCCGCGATGCCRTTCTTGGCCTTCAGCTTGGGCTGCTGCTTGGCCGGCTTGCTGGCGATGTCGGCCCAGGAGGCGGGCTTGGGCGGCGCGATGGTGGCCGGGGGCAGCCCGCCGGGCGCCACGATGCTCCCGGCCAGGGAGCTGCCGCCCACGGCCGAGCCGACCACCTTGGGGACGCCGGCGGGCACGTCGGCGCCGCCCAGCTTGAGGGCCGCCATGCCCTGCTCCACGGCGTTCATGCCGGGCGCCTTGTTGAGGCCCTCGCTCGCGAAGGCCGACTGCCCGTCGAGCACGGCGCCGCCCAGCGAGCTGGGCGCGTACGCGTAGCTGCTGCTGTAGCCCGAGCTCGGCGTCGACTGGCCCTGGGAGCTGCTGCTGCCCCACGCCGAGAAGTCGATGCCGCTGGGGAAGAAGTTGAAGCCGTGCTGCCCCAGGAAGGGCGTGCTGCCCAGCGCGCCGGGCTGCCCGAACACGGCGTCCGCCAGGAAGTGYGGCTCCCCGTTGCTCAGCTGCCCGTAGGACGTCACGTAGGGCATGGGGGGGTCGCCCCCCGTGGACCAGGCCGCCTCGCCCAGCGAGTAGGAGAAGCCGATGGAGGGGCTGTAGTAGCTGGGCAGGTAGGAGTCGGACATGGCGGTGTAGGCATTGTTCTGCGGAAACAAGAACAGGCGCCCAGCAGTCAGGACAGGCTTCCCGACGGCCTTCCGGGCACCGGGAATGAAAGGCGCCGTGGGGCCCCACCCCGCACGACCGTGRGGCCACGCAGATAACAGAGGAGGCGTTTCGAGGCCGGGTTGGGAGCGCCCTAAAAACCACCTTCAGCGCCAGCGAGATTGAACACGAAGGCGTCCTGGGAAGGAGAGGAAGCACCAGGCTCCTTGTGCCTGCAACGGGGCCAGCCGCTGAGCTGCTCAGGCTACAGAATCAGTATCTAGCATTAAAAAAACAATTACTTGCAGTATCTAACACAGAGGAGGGTTCCCCTGGCCTGGGCAACACTCGYGTGAAGTCTCACGTTGCTGTTGGTCTGACAGAGGCTGTGGGGGAAAGAGGCAGAGGGAAGTGGGATAATATGCAAAGAAAAGGCTCAATGGCAGCAAACGGCCCCAAACCACGCGTGCCTCGAGGCACTTCTGTAAACCGATTAGCCATGCAGGTGGTTCTAGCCACATAGTTTAATGTTTCAGCACTCAAAGCAGTCCAAGAACCTGGCAAGGGATGGCGTGGATGCARAGCCCACCCTGAAAGTACGAGCTGCAGGCACACGCTAAAAAAGAAGTGGGGGAAAAGGGAGAATAATCAATAGCGCTTCAATAGGAGGCGCGCGGCAGCGAGCGCAGCGCAGCGCGTGGAAGCAGCCCTGGGAACCGGAGAGGAAAAGTTCGCTCTGCCTTTCGGTCTCCCTTTCACACCCAAGTAGCCTGTGGGTCACGAAAACAAAGGCCTAATGTGACAATTAGGCAACTCTCAGGCATCAGTAGGATTTCCTTGCATGAAAAACCTGCTGTCATCTGGCACTGGGAGCAGCGCTGCCTCCGGGCGCTGTTAAAGCCCCATTAGCACCCAGGAAGGTGCCACTGGGTGACCCCAGCACCCAGGCGGGAAGCTCTGGCAGCCGAGGGAAAGAGCAGCTCGGTCTCCCCACCACGTTAAGTGCAAACAACAGGTTATACTTAGCCCCACATCCACAAGAGCTAACAGGAAAGGCTCCGTGCAACGTTCAGCTCTATTCTGCTGTGTTCAACAGCAAGAAGCCTTTTGTGGTACTTTGTAATGTCGACAGACAGAAGCTCAGCACACTCTAACCTTTCTGTTCTCCTGGATAGGAACAACAGAAAAAAAGAACTTAAACAACCTTAAGACTTATCAGGGTAATATTTTAATAATCCAGAAACTCCCAAGCCAAGAGCCCAGTCTCTGGGGCTCAATCTGTCCAGAAGCAGGCAGCGCAAGCAGCGACCCTTGCTAACAGGTGATGTGTAATGCAAATAAAGGCACTTGGAAAAGAACATTAAGCCAACRTATCTCTGAAGGGTAATATCTGCTTTAAAGGCACCTGAATAAAGTCTCCTGACAAGTGGCTTTAACGCACTGTGCACAGGTCTGTTTACCGGTTAGCAAATAAACACTACTTATGTATCTATAATGCAAATAAAACTTCACCAGCTTCTCGTCCTCGCCCATGACTAAGACTTTTTGCAYGGTTATTTCCTCAAATTCACTCAAACGTCACCTCAGGCGGGAGCTGGTGCTTGGGCCTGGTTATCATTGCTGAAGTTCTTCCCTATTCTTTTTGTTCTCGGCCACTTGCTGTGCACCTGAGCTTTAAAACACATGGTAGCCTAATTTACTAAGCCAACAAATTAGTGAATCGCACCTGAAAGAGTAGCCCTTGAATCAAGAGCTGCGAAAGCCTGTGACTTAGTTACCTCCTGGCTGTGTGGAACCTCAAGGAGCAATTTCAAGGACATCCCTGCTCCTCTGCGGCTGCATTTAATGCATTTTTTGCAGCTTTGCCTGTCAATCTCTCCTGCACCGACAGGAAAGGGGCRCGATGGTTGAAGCTCTGTATGGGCAGTCCAGCAGCACCACTGTCACCTCGCACCCAAGCCCTGGGTCTCTGTTAAAACAGCACCTTGCTTCTAACATGCCTAAAGCGTGCAGACACGTTTAGATTTAAATAAAACTACACTCTGCATGATGTTTTTCCACGTGCAGAAAGAGACCTAGAAATCGGTTATGTTCATTTGTAGGACAGAAAAAAAAAAAAAAAATCAAAGGAGTAAAAGGAGTAGAGCAAGGAGAGTAACCAGTTTTATTCAAGACCCAAAACCCAAATTACTCTCGCTCATTCAATGCAATTTAAATGTAGACTTGTAGCATTTTAGGGAGAAGTGTGGCAAGTGTTCTTAATGGAGAGGCTGAATTCTACACATGGCAAGAGCTGCCAAGGCCCCGAGGAACAYCTACCCTCATATTTTTAGCGCAAAGTAGGAATATACTTGCTGAAAATTAAAAACTGAGACAGAAGCCTGTTKGCGTGTTCCAAAAAACCCAGATACAACAGAAAAGAATATTAGAAAGTGGAGAAAAAAAAACAAATTATTTTTACTACTCACAGCTGGGAGAACAAAAAGGCAACAGAATGAACTAAGTGCTCTGGTCCCCGCCTCACTACAGATGTTTATCTCCCCTGCTTACTTATAATATCTAATCAGCCGGCCTCCATCTGCTATGTGGCACTCTGCTACTGCTCGCAGGAAGGGAGAAAAGAGAAGAAAACCAGTTATCAATAGAGCTAACTTACAAACACGTGYAAAGTTAGACGGAAAAGCAGGTGGAAATGGGATTTGCAGGGAGATGAGCGTAAGCTCCAGCAGAAATTCCCATGAAAAGCTACAAGCAGTCCYTAMAGGCCCCGGTTCCACAGGCTSGGCGGGGAGGGARCCGCGGCCGCGCCGCACGATTCTGGGGGAGGATAACGGCCCCGGCCGCGGCCTCCGAAGGCCCCGGCGCCAGCAAAGCCCCGGGGTCCGGGCACGGCGGGTCTCGGGGTCCGGGCACGGCCGGTCCCGCGGCACCGGGCCGAGGGAGCAGGGCGGCGATGGCGAAACCCGGAGCAGCGAGGGCGGCTCCACGAGGCTCGGTCACGGAGCGCGGGGAGCCCTCCCGCCCCAGGGGCCGGGCCCCGCGCCCTCACTCACCGGCCGGGCCTGCGGGCTCACGTAGGGCTCGAAGTCGTCGTCGTTGAGCGCGTCCTTCTGGTGCACGGAGCCATTTTGCACTGCGGAGAGGGAGGCGCGTGAGGGGGAGGGCGCCGCGCGCGGCCGCCGGGCCCCGCGGCCCTGCCC